TTATTATAGGTTTATAGATATTAATATATTTAAATTAGTATTACTTTTACTATTAATTCTTGTTTACTTTCATACTTATTAACAAGATGGACCCCCTTGCGAGACTTCAATCCATTCTTACTGTGCCGGTCGTTTAGTATGAAGCCCATAATATTATATAGAAATCGACAATTTCTACTAGACTTGTTATTACTGACCATAAATGCTCAAATTATAATACCTGCCACACAGATGAACCGCCAACATTAAATGTTGGTGAAATTTTCACGGGATATTCTAAACACTTTATTACCATGTCTATGTTTTCAACGTTTTCATTGAATTATTTAACTAAGTTTTTAACTTTTGTTTCAGAAAGGAGAAGTGAATTTAGAAAACGTAACACATGAAGAGGCGGTAGCCACGCTCAAAACCACACAAGATTGTGTAGTACTTGTAGTTGCCAAACTTGATACTGGATTCACAGCTCCTGCTTCTGATACGTCTTATTCGCCTCAATTGTGTGAGTATAATTGCACTTTCAATTGTGTTCCCTACGTTGGCCTTAATTGGCAATTAGCAGTGCAATGAGTTCAATCAATAATCAAAACAGCAATTACCTCGTAGAATTATTTACTTGCTGTTTGAGTAGAACTGTTGTTGATTCTCATGACGTTAATTGAACTTTTGAGCTGATTGTTGTTGGCTCAAAATATGAGTATGAGGAAGTTGTCGAACTTTAAAATAAAAAAATATTTATGAACTTGAAAGGGGGATATCCGCAGGTATTATCTAGCAGAAATTGCATCAGAGTATGGTTTGTTGTTTCACGTTTTGCGTCTAAAATCACATAGATTTTACGTATTGCTTTTTGGTGGCAACTATATGAAAAAACGACAACTACTCCGTTCCAATTCGCATTTCCAATTAAGCCCATCGCATATCGGTGAAATTTAAATGATGCACTCTAAATATTTGGCTCTTTGATTAAAAAAATAGTTCAAAAGCTACACTAACCGGATTCTTTCTACATATTGGCTGCTTTGTGTTTGAGTTGAGTCACACAGACATGGGATAAAGCATCAACGATGTATTTGGTATCTGATTTTTCGTTTTTATTTCAAATTTATTGGGGATTTGACTCCGGTTTGACCTGTTAGAGGCAATTTCAGTTTGGCGTTTGGCAAACTATTTCGTCGTTAATTCAGTGAAACTTGAATCCGCTTTATTTTCTATCGAGGTAGCTTTGCTGAAATCATGCTGGTTGTAATTACAATTCAATATTTGTTAGCTAGATTTCACATTTGCATTTTTGAAAAGGAATGAAATTTTTTATTTGATTTTAGCAAACTTAGTCAAGTTGTTGCGTCCAATCTCGATACTAATTTACATGTTAAAGTATCTCAATTCTAACAAAGTGTATGTACTCTGTCATGTTGCTTCTATAAAATTCGTCGGAAAGACAGCAAACTATGTAATCCAGTGATATTTTGAAAGTCATTTAGTTGGCAAACGGTGCGTCTGAGCGAAGTAAATTAAGAGTACCTTTCCTTCGTAAAATACTTTCCACAATTTGTCGAAAAAAGATGGATTTATAATATCAGAAAAAAAGTTAGAGCTTTTTTGGTACTTCTACCCCCCCAAATGATACGTCTATTATGAAATTCTGTCAGTTTTAATTTCAGATCAAAAAACCCTACTACTGGGCCTCTCTTCAAGAAAGCGTAGCTCCGTTAGGAAGCATTTTTCGATACATGCTCACATTATTTTTGAGAGCTAATTTCACTTTGAGTTTGGCCACCGAATTTCCGGATACATTCTCTAGCAAATCTTAAAGAAGTAGCTGAAAAAGTGGAAATGATATATTTAATTCTGAGCCTGTTCATAACATGTTTATAGGATCATTCACATAAAGATGTATATGCTTGCTAAATAAATAGATTGCGATCGCTTCCACAACTTAGAAAACTATGATAGAACTTATCAAAAAACAAAATATACTTTTGCAATACGCGATTAAATGAAACTACTTACTTATCACTGAAAAGTTCTCATTCCATGTATAAAAATTCGTTTTATGTCATTTTTGTACGTTTGTTTTAGCAACTCGGAGCAGTTTCTTTTCAAATACTGAAATAAATTTGTCAAATGCACTCACTGGTCAGAAGATGTAGGTATTAGGATTTTTAAATTACCGATTGATATTATTTATAAATTATTGTTATTTTAGTCACAATCCATTAATTACCACACCCACGTACTAGTTTATTCTATTTTGGATTTCATATTATCGAGCTCTGCTCTTTCGGTTAAATATGGGCCAATGGACTTTTAATTTGAAAAAGGGATCATTGCTGCTAAAAATATACAAGTTTGGTTAATGCCCCTAGAAATTAATTAACAGGATTTAGAATATCGTCATTTCCTCTAAAATGAAAATAATTTATTTTCCCGCTGATGCCACACCAACGTGTACTTGACAAATAATTTATTTAATGCAGAATTCAGTTAGATTAATTGTCTGTAGGCACTGACGTATATAATAACTTTCTTTGAAAATTCGATATTTAACAGCTCCTCCTCCTCCCACAATATCTAAGTGACTTTAGATACACTAAATGTTCTTAACATTGAACTGTTTCCATTAATCCAGCATATTTTATTATTTAACTTACTGTAAATTTTCTTACTTTTCAGCAACTAAGGCGTCCCGCTGTTACCCAGAATCGTTACATTCTGCACATTCATCCAATTTGGCCTTACATCAGCCTATAGGTACTCCGAGAGCAGTTAGCACCGAAGATATTACCAGGTAAGTCGTAATTTTTAATTAAAATATGGAAACTGACTAGTGAAAATGTTTTATAAACATTGCATAATTGGAAGCGAAATCCATATTCAACTCAGAAATTGCTTTCGTCCTTTAAATGCTTTGCCAACTCGCACATATTGCTTAGGGAAATTGCTTAAAGCAAATTGCGTGGATTGTGTATAGGATCTGAAATCTCTACTTTTCTACCAGGTGTCCCAACCGATCTGGGCTGTTTTTCATTGTCTGCCAAGAAAATGTTTTCCCTCGTGGAGAATAATAGAATCCCTAGTCATATAAATCATTGTGAAAGAAAATTTCATACTGATACCTCACGTGATAAAATATGATCCTCAAAGTGTCGAAAGTAAGAAGTATTATCTGATTTAGCGTTTACCGGATAAAGGAAGATTTGATTTTAGAGATTCATATTTTAAAGTGAAACAAAGCATTTCTAAGCTTTAAATATTCACTTGCGTGGCGTAAATGTTATTTTAATTTGCTAAATTTGTGTAGTTAATCTATCAACGTTTTATAAGTAAAATGATACTACTAAACTTTGTATGTGTGTTTGTATACTTCCATAACTAGTAAGTATAATTATTCACTTTGCTGAACTTACAGTAATTCTGACAGCGTACTTTGGCGCTGAAGGAACATTTTGGTATAAGATAAGAAATTGATAGAATATGTTTGTCGGGCGTGCAGTAATCATGCTAGGAAGTGCTAGTTACATTATTTACTCGCAGTATTTGTAAATCTCTTTGTAGTACAAAAGCTCCCAATTAAGTAAAGGCTTATCTGTTTTGGGATGCGAATTTAAAAAAACCCGTGTAGAAATTTAGGACCTCAATGATCAGCAGTGGAATATGCATTTGAGACTTCAAGAATAGCTGTTAGTGTATGTGAAGCTCCGTTAGCGAAGTCACCGCTTAGCACAAATAAAAAATGTTAACATCATACTTACATGTTGTATTAAATACCTAAATATTATTCGAAAATATCGATAACAACATAAAAAACGTTTATTTTGGGCAGTTTTTAAACAAAATATTTCCTTATTTGATCACACGACATTTATTCGAAATGAGCAGGCACAATGGCATGGAATTTTTTGTAGTAATTTTTTTTGCAGAAGCTGGGTTATTCTTTTAGAGCGGCAAAATATAAAGCTGTCATAATTTCGGGTGCTGTAGGCGAGTAAAATATGTTTACTCTCTTGAAATTCGATTTTCAACTGTTAATATCTTCTAGAAATTGGAAAAAACGAAAAAATGTAATGCTCATATTATTAGTCCTATATAATTATAGTAAATTTTGTGTTTTCTTCAATAAGTTATTTTGGTACATTAAATTAATGTGGTACGTGGTAACGTAGTACTTCAAAGTTTGAAGTTCAAACTTTTCGTTGTTTGTAAAATAAAAGTACTCGAATATGTTCTGTGGTTTGGTGGTCTAATAAATAATAATACACCATGTGGTTTTTCTGATACTTGAAAAGAGACTTATAATAAAATGCTGTTTAAGAAATTCGATTTGTAGTCAACACTAACTGTAAGTCCCAGAAGTAATGTTCATTCGATAAAATTCAACGGACTGTTTTTGGAAAAATCTTCGAACTAAAAATGCTGTCACTGAACGAATTAAACTGAACAGTATGAACGTACACTCATAGAGAGGATTGGAGGGGTAACAAGCCGGAAAGAGTACTTAATGCGACGTCGTTTGGTACTTGACGCTGTTTCTTCTTCGTTTGTAAGTTAAGGTAGTAGGTAACTAACCTGACCTTTTGGTCCTTCGAACCGGATCAGGTGAATCTCTTTACTCTTACATATTTAGTGTCCTTCATTTGAAAAACGTATTCGTTATTAGAATGCATGTTTGAACTATCCTTATCTGTTTCAGTCTACGTATTTTCGAGTTTAATAATTATTTGTTTACGTTATCGTCACTGTTTAAATCCAGACATAACACTTTTTTATTGGATTTGTATTTTGATCCTTATCCAATTGAGAGGTATCTGAAACATAGTTTAGTTTTATATTGCTTTTTCTCATAACTCATTATCTTCGAAATTGTGTACTGCAAGGTAGCGAGTGTAAGGCATTAAAGTTGAAAATAATTTTCCACTGGCGCGAAATTCATTTTTCCTCCTAATAGCGTATCAGACTTGTTAAAAGTTCAGCCAATCGACTGGTTTTTAATTGGAATTCCGCAGAGGTATAACTATGAGTTTTAGAAACCTGTTTGAGGTAAAGTTAAATCAGTTCGTTGATTAATAGGTAAATTCAAATTGTCGGCATGTCAACGGGGTATATTTGTTAGCTCTACATGGGTCAAAGTTACTTTACGAACAGTTGTAGAACAGTTAAAAGTTTAATTTAAATTAAAGTGCGGCATTATATGCACTATCGTTTTATTGTTGCGTTGAGTAGAAATTCAAACTTTTGTAAAATTTAATTCTAAGCTGACGTTGAAAACCATTTCAATCAAAATAATGTACGTTAAAAATATAATGGATAGAGAGAAAGTAAGCCATTTGACCTTAAACAAATGGTACCATTTAAATTGAAATCTCTCTTTATGGAAATGTAATTTCAATAAAAGTTCAATGCAGATATGTATTTAATTAATTCGCGTTTTATGTTATTGCCTCCGTTTAGATATATCAAACCCGTTACGTGTGGTAACCGGCTGTTATAGATTTATCTGGTCCAGTTGTTTTATTACGGAAAGTTCTATCGGTATCTGATGGATTTATTAAATTGGCTTCGAAAATAAATATGCCGGATTAACTAAACCTTGTTATGTCGTTTTTCATTGCATACATTTGTGTTTCTTAATATTTCAAGAAAGTAAATCTTTGAATAAACATTATAAGTGCGCTCGGGAGATTTTCAAAAAACTAAAACCGCGCCAGAAAACTACATAGTTGTAAATGTACACCATAATTTAAAAATTTAATTTATACGATGAATAGATATAGAGTCCTGAGTTTTTCCTGGGAATGTTCTATGTGCGGTTTACTTTTTCAATATTAATTTGAATATTCCAAATAAAAAATTTGCTTAGAGGCTCTTGGTCAGCGTAAATCACAATTACACTAATTAATTATTTAATTTATGTATTTCATTATTAATTGAATAAAAAATGTTTAGTTGGTGAAATAAATTGGATCTTATTCACGTTTTATTGTTTCTATATACATATAATATTTAAAATGTTTGCCATTAATTTATAGTTGCGATGACTTATCTTGCCTTAATACCATCATTATTAATACATTATAGTAGCAGCACATAATAATCACAAGATCTGTAGGCAACATGTAACCGTAGTTTCATCCCACCCAGTATCCCATTTTCTTGCTTTAATGTTGTTTGAACAATAATTGCAATTTTTCACGCGTTGGAAACAATTACATATTTCAATAAAATGTTTGTCTATGAAATACCCAACAGCTAGAAGTTACTTTAGTAAAACACGCTATATGTAAAATAAATTTTAGCAACCATTAAGTTTTTTTTTCTAAATGGAAAGAAGAAATATAAAGTAGACATTCGCAGCAAGTTAAGTTAATTGAATATGTAAAGCGTATGAAAGGGTTTGAAGTGTAGTCTTTATTTCCTTATAGGTGAATTTTTTGTTCGAGATTCGAAAAATTGCGAATTTCTTGTCGCTTCTTCTTTCTTTCTTTCTTTCGAGGCCTTGTACACTGAATTTTTCGATTGCTGTTTGCAACATAACTTCAATTTATTAATTTCACTATTAATATTTACTCGTGATGAGTAATTTTAGAAATAAATCTATGAATATCTTGAAAAATTAGTACTCTAAACCAACATTTATAATCGATTTATAGTATCCGAAAAAAGTTAATTCCAAATAATCATTAAAGCGAGTAAATGGTACATAATCTTCTTAAATGTCTTAAATAGTGCTCTTTAGATCCGGGTTTGCCAATCGTTCATGCAATTGCATCTAAATCTTTAGGCAAATTATCTTTTATACCTGTAGGAAAACATTATGTTGCACGTCGACCATGTGAAAAACGACAATCGACCTTATTTGGCGATATCGCAGGGTCGACAGGCTAAGCGAAGAACGAACGAACGCCTTTTCGCTGTAATGTGAACTTGGACTACTTCGGAAGGCCGCTGCAGAACTGGTGGGATGGGCCATGAAGTATAGGCCTGGTATATCGGAAATACCGTGTTCCTTAATTTTAGTGTGCAGCAAACCATAAAATAAATATGTTTGCATGTTATTTTTGCTAGATTTACTTATTTTGGTTGGTTTTCAAGCTACTTCGACAAAAGTACGTCTAATGCGAACGAATTCAATATTTCCTTAAAAAATTTGCTTTAATAACTCGGCTTGTAAATTTTTCTCTTAAAGAATGGAACTTAAGGACATTTAAGAATGTGTATGATGCGTCTTGGTTCGGATGTCTATTTTAGTATAAATACTTTTAGTTTTAAAATATAATATTTTAGTATAAATACCTTTAGTTGTTATTTCTTTCTAAAATTATTACTACTTTGGTGTGCATCTTATCTTATTTAGTTATTACAAAGTATAAAAATATTCAAAAATTAATACCTATAGTTTCAAAATATAAAAAAAAATTAAAAGTTTGAAAATTTTTCGAAGGGCAATACGAATTATAATGTATTAAACGTAGAGAAATTGATCGGTCTTGACGATCTCGCAAATACCTAACGTACCTATTTGAATAATTCGCAAAGCTAATATTTCTAGTAATATATAACTGCAAACTTGTTGAAATCAGTTTAGATGAGCAAATGGATTTAAAATGAAACAACTGCTTTTGTTTGTTTTATTTGATGAATGCGAGTTCTTTATGTTTTTCTTCTACTTTATTCATAATTTGACAGCAGGTTTTTCACGACGAAAGTAACACACTTTAGTGCTCACAGGTAATGCCAAGTACTGTACAATCGAGCCAAATTAATAACGAAACTGAAGAAAGCCTTTATTTTCAAAATTAATTGTTAAAGTACATTTTGGAAATGTAACCTTACTTTTGCAACTTCAAATCATTTAAATGCGATGTTGTCGACTACTTTTGTTAGAAGTCAGATGATATTTTATAGAGAAATAGAAATAGAGTTTTTAAAACGTCTATAAAACTGTGCTATAGTAAAACTATGTGCTAAAAAACTACTTATAGGGGCGCTGAGAAATGGAAACATTACGCGCCATTGTTGACGGCAAAAATCACGAATACATTGGTTATTGACATCCCATATTTTAACCTTTGTTTGTACGTCTATAACATAAAACAGGACTTACACACTTTTCAATAAGTTCAAAAGGCTTGCAAACGCTGAGTAGAAAGAACTAAATAAAATAAGTCACAACGACAACTAATCAAAACAAGTGTCAACTTTTACTAGTTAAAGTGTAGTTATAATTTAGCCGACAGTGGGCGTTTGGAGTTTTCAATAAATTTGAATATAGGGTCACAAATAATGATGTCACTCGCAAATAGCTTGAGACAGAATATACTTCTATTGCGAAATGGAAATATTCTAGCAACCTACTTGGAACAAATCAAGGCATTTATAACTCTAGTGGGGACAGAATAGACAAATGTCGTCCGTATGCAGTCATAATAGGATTTATTTTAATGGTCCAACAAATATTTTTAGAGTGGATATATAGCGAATAGGTTAATAATAGAATAATTCACTTTCTTCAATATCAACTTTGAAACTGAAACAGCTGAGTTTTTACTCGTGGAATCAGTGCGCTCATGTATTTTATCATGGTACGTTCCGATCTTGGCAGACAACCGAGTTTTTTTTGTTAAATTATGCATTATTCCTAGATATAATCTCAGTTTGCATGTAGGACAGAATAAACAGTAACATTAACGACATGTTACAGGGTCCTGTCTCATTAAAAGTTTGTTTATTTTCACAGTTCTATGATTATCACAAGCTAATATTAAATTATTAACTAAGATACAAAACTCCATACATAAGTAAATGGAATTCATAAGCGTGACACGTCTTCAGGTTTGACAACAGACATTCATACCGAAGTTAGCTAAATGTACCAAACAATTACTACTTTGCTTCGAGACAGCCGACTTGGCTGTTTCGAATTGTTTTTACACCATTTATGTAAGAAAATCTGTGAATTGCTCACGAAATGTTAAATATGATTAATGTAACATAGGTACCAGGATTTTCATTCGTGTATCTTTAAATAATTTATTCTATTAATTTAATTCGCTTTATTATTGGTTTCGCAGCATCAGACTATGCTTATTTTAATCCGAATTTGACAAAGTGTTGAATAATTAGCGCTTGACTATTATTTAACTCATAATGTTTCAATACACACGTGATTAATGCATTCACCGGCCTATCATATCGACACCAATCTATCGTGTCTAATGAATGAACAGCCAGGCTTCCACTTAAAACCAGAGCCTTTAGAATACGATCTATCTATAGTACGGTTCTTTATGCGATTCAGTCCCATATGAGTCCGATATTCGGTTGGAAGGAAATTGAATGGCAGTGCACGTCAGCCTGTGTCTGCAAGACCCCTAACCAGTGAATGTTGACTCATAAAGTTCAGTTTTAACATGGGGTGTCTGTGCAAAGGGTGTGTTACGGACGGACTCGTTTAAAAACGGTCGTTAGTGGTGTTCAAATGCGGCATGGTAAACGTAGGTTTGCTATTACAGAGCCATAATTCGTCGTTTTTATCGTTGGGGAAAAATATGATTGCTTGTAATATACAACTGAAGATATCGGGAAAATGTACTTCAGTTGATGCATACTAGGTTGTGTGTATTCGCAACACTCTTTGACGCAAGTAGAATCGTTTTACTCGGTATTTTTGTATAATTTTTGATTGAAATCGTGATGTGTCAATTGTGCGCATTGTTCAATAATCTAGGAAACCTTTTAAAAGCAGAAGTAAAATTCGATTAGCAGACATTTCTAGTAGCTGTTGATATACTACGTGCTAAATGCGTTTTCGACTAATTGTGCCTCGTAAATTCGGTATGAATATTACTCGCTATACGTAATTTCATAAGCTATTTGTTTAGTGAACCTTAATTTGTGCAGTGTTTTGGATATTTAAGAACAAAAACTGTTGATTTTCTGAACTGAAGAAAAATCGCTGATTTTCTCTTGTGTTCGCTCGGTTTTTAGGAAAGTAAAATATCTGTTTAAAATTTCACATTTATTGGTTGTCTGATCTGAGGTGTATGCTATTTACGTGTACTCAACTCAGATTTTAAAACACATTAACGATCCTTACCTACTCTTATATGGTTATAAGATAAATAGTGTCGAAATATTTTCGAGACCGCTTCACACAAAAAGTGTATAAAATATCTATTCCATAAAGTCGATTTAAAATTAGTGGCAACGTAAATTTCCGGTATAGCCAAAGATCCATAACCTGCAATTTTCAAAAATTTAGTTATTATATTATATAAATTCGCCGAGTTGCCCATATTTGTGAGACCTTTGTGTTTCTCGACATATTTGCTGTTTATTTTTTTAAATTAGAAGCTCCTCAATTTGCAATATTATACTCATTAGACCATCAGATGATTTTCAAAGGGTCAATGCCTATATCAATTTGCCCCTTAACCACTTGCAGTAACGGAATCTCTTTTTTCTTTCATTTTTTTCTTTCTATGTGAAATTTACCGTGTTTGTCGACATTTGGTTTTTAATATTGCCCGTACTTTTACATGGTTTATCGCTGCTTCGTCGATCAGCTGTACTCACCTACATTTTGGAGACGATTCACAATTGATACTTGATTAACCGATGTTACTTCTCTATAGCGTATCATTACCGGATGCGGTTCCATATTTGACTTGGTTTTCTGGAATGCATTTAAAAGTATTTATGGTTAACGTTTCCGGAATTAGTACTATTACTAGAAATGTTTTTGTGTCAAGTAGCCTTCAGTAGCTTTAAAAAAAATAATACGAATATAAGTTTGCCGCAACATAATCATTATATTTTCATGATAAATCATCATATTTCATGACAGGAATCTACGGTAGGATTTTGTATAATTGTATAATATTAAATTTAGACCCACCCCACAAGACTAAAAAAGTCAATTGGTAAGGTCCGGTTGGGTTTTCGAGGACATCAATGATAAAACCGTAAAAAACTGAAACGAAAAATATGCTATCTGAAAGATGATACTTCTGTAAACGTTCTTTGAATGAAATCATCAACGTTTATTTTTAATTACGATTTTTTTGTATTCAAAGAAGTAACTCTGTCTTCATTTAGGCAACTAAATGGTACTTACGAGTAGTAGATATTAGGACTGAATGTCCTTACAGATATTTAACATACTCTCCTTGTATAGGCACATTAAAGACGGATGTACACGACTCAAAAGAATAATATTTTCTTTGATTGTTGTTCTAATATGGCACTTTTAAGGAACAAATATGCCCGGGTGGGTGCTGGTTCAACCTTAAATATTTATTTTTGACTTAATTTTCAATGTCACAAAACAAATGGGTATAATGCTATTGACATGGTTAGATGACATTGTGATTACTTTTTCCTTTGCTTTCCATCCTTTGCAAAAATTTGCGAATATTTCTTTACACTTCTCCGATTTTTTTGGTAAAAAATGTTAATGAATGTTTTTTAGGCTTGAAAGATGCACGGTGTTGTTATGTTTTACGGGTATACTCTGTTATTTTGTTTTACGTTAAACAATATACCAATAACCAAAAGAAAAGCATATTTGTAGGTAATACTGTATAATTAATTATATGATTGACATGCTATAATTTCTATACATATAGTTAGACATTTCAAAATTGAATACCTACTGCATTCTTTAAGAGTTGTTAGCTAGTTTTGCAACTTTTAGACTCTATTTACGTGTGGGTCAATACAAAAAGCCTTTTTAAAAAAGGTTTTTATTAGAAGCAGGATACAAATGAATTGTTTTCGCTTTGTTTCGAGTTGTAATTGTAACCTTGGTACATGTTCTTATCTTTGCTTAGTGTTCGATTAATTTATGCTTACAATTTAAGTTGCAAGAATGTAACCCCTCCGCCCTTAGCTAAAAACATACCCACAGGGTGTGGTTTTATAGATATATTTAAATTATACAATTATGATGGGTAAGGATGATGAATTATATATATAATTAATGTCCATAAATTGACGCGGGTCACTTCTAGGGGCGTTGTCAATTCTTGAAGATGGATTTTCTGGTTTTTTAATTCGTTCGCGATCTGCTTCGTTTCTTCGATATTGATTGATTGTAAATCAATATAAGGGTTGTCTAGATGTGGCTTCGGTTGAAGATAATTTGCAGATAGGTTCAACATTGGTAGGGAGATGCTCTCGTAGTTTAATCGGGTTGATTGTACAGGTTGTAGCGTAAACTTTTCGATTTTTAGGCTACATTAATTAGTTAACTCGATTAAATGGGAACCAAGGAGTGGAATATTGTCTTTTGCATTGGGGCACAAAACAGGCACTATCACTTCTTCTGGGAATGTCAGAATCCATTTTCCATTCGTGATTTTGGTTATTTGGATTTCATGTATATTGATACGGAAAGAATGGCAACTGGTGATATTTTTTCTGTAGGATACCAGCTGGACAGCACATGGGGGATTTTTCGTGATGTAGTTAACGTG